TCAAATTAAAGCCTTTAGGAAGTAAAGATATAAACTTTTTTTTTCAAATATAATTTGTAAATTAATCGATTAGCACCTACTGTACAGATTTTTTTTTGACAAAATTGAAATTTCTTATTACTTTTTACTCCCCGTAGACACTAAAAGAGTCTTTTTCCATATCATTATAAGTTAAGCCAGGTCCACAATGGGGACGATCAGATGGTGAAGGATAGGGCCCGACATATTTGAGAAAAAATTCCTAGGGAGCCATTCTGCCAGATTCGATTCCCCCCAGAGCATAGTCTGACGTTTTAACCGCCTCGACCATCTGCCCGGCACACAATTCACATTATAACAATCGATAAATTTTTATATGTCACAATATAATAGATAGATATTGTAGAAAGTGAAAGTGTTGAGTGAAATTCTATTCCACTGTAAAAATACCAAGCGTTTTTTTTATAACATATAAGTGATGATAATTTTTTATCGAAAGTTGAAAGAATTTACTTTTCTTAAAAAGTTTTCTTAGATTACATTCAAAGATTTTTTTACATATCTATCTCCTATTTTACATTGAATACTGAAACATCTCTAGTGACAAAAACGCAGAAGAATTTAATGTTTTCTCAAAACTTGAAAGGCATATTTTCTAGAGTTTACTATATATAAAAGAATGAATAAATAAATATATACAGTACATTATTTATTCTTATAACCAGTATATTCATTGATTTGTTCAATTTCATATCATATGTCGCCAATACTAAATCAGATAAAATGGAAAAATTTATGAATTATATTTCATTTAAACAAATAAAAGTTTAATTTTATCAAAAACGCAAAATTAAACAAAAAAAAAAANATGATGATTTACTTTTAATAGTTTACTTCCAATTTAATTATGTTTCCAGATGCATTCAAACCATGCTTTTATATTTATTATATTATAAATGTCACAGTATGTCCCAAACGTTGGTGATACCCACATAGGTTTAAAAAAAGCTAGGTCAACGAAATTTAGTGATACGTAAAATTTTTCAAACATTTTATTGGTCCTCGGGCTTAAAAAGGTTCAGAAACGATATATTAAACAATTAAAATAGATTGGATTGAGGGAATGAGGTAACATAAAGGCGATTTGCTAAGGAAGACGCCTTCCGTAAGAACATTCTATACGATATTTGCCTCTATTTGCGAAGAAAATGTAAAGAAAACCCGGAAAACGCCAAGCGAATGTCTAGTTGTTCACATGCAAACTGGCTACCAACTAGTTTTCAGAGATGTTTTATCCAGTCGACCACTGGAAAACACATTTGAAAAGCAGATATATCAATATTTATATTTATGTGTTCCAAATGTATGAAATTTTCCGGGTATTCTTTATGTGTGTAACACATAAATTTCGTACAGGATGTCCTTCTGGATGGCATCCTCGTCAGGTTCTTCTATTATAAAATCAATAATACTAAAGAAAGATTCATATTTCTCATAATTGTTTTGGTTATTAACGTAATGATTTAGCTTATTAAAATAATAAGTTAAATCATTACGTAAATAATCAATATATATATATTATATCTTTCCATAATGTTATATCTGGATCTAGAGATGTTCCATCATAGAACTCTTTTATTTAATCCTTTATACTTTTTCTTCTTAGATCAAGTCTTGAATATCTGTAAAACCGGTATTACATAGACTCAAAAGTTGTTTACTGAATTTATTACTCGATACTAAACTTTAGATAATTATCAGTCAGCTTAATGGCTCCATAAAAACAAATATATAACATTAAGTAGTTCTGAAAATTTAATATTTTTAATGTTATAGTAACTTATTTAAAATATAAATACTGTATGTGTTTATAAAGACAATAGTCCATTGATTTAACGGAATAATTGAATGAAGTCTGTTAAATCACGGGTTTATTGTATTATTAATATAATTTTAAAATATTTCTACCTTTGAATGTGTATAAATGAATGTATTTAGAGTATATAACTATTAAAAATATAAATATAAATATATTATTCGCTGAATTTGGGTGTTTGCATTTTGTTATAAGAGTATAAGACGTTTTATGTGAGTTTTGCGAAAACTAATTTGAAATGGAAGATAATATTGCGCTCTTATTTTATTTTATCGCGCACTTATTCTTGCCTATGACATTAAAATGCGAGAAGTAGAGAGAGAATGTGTATTATGATCATATCCCATAGGAAATTAATTAAATCTAAACATAAATAACTTATTATCTTGAGTGCAATTTTGTTAAGCCAAGTAACTGCAGTGGAGAGAGAAATGCTTTCATACTGTAAATATAGAGTATGTAGCTTTTTTTGGTTAATGCATTATAGATTATTTATATTCAATTATAGAATTAATTTTATTTATAGCATGAAAAAATTTATCATAAAAATAAAACATATAGTTGAAAATAGAATGTGAAGCTTTCTTATTTAATTTAGTTTATTTTATTAATAAAATGTTTTTTTTTTTATTGATCGATTGATTAGACTGAGTTATATGCTGCTGTATATCTTAACATTCTGTTATTTCCAAATAATAAATTTTTAAATTATTAACAATCTGTATTTTCTTTTTCTATTAAACTAACGTTTCTCAACGTATGGTCAGTAGACAGACAAATCAATAGTAGAATTCCACCTGATGGACGTCCAAATTTATTTTTGCGTTGAGCATTACTAATTATTATATTATTATCTTGTTCTAGATATTTTATTTTCATTTCACTAATTTATAATCCAGGATTTCTAGAAACCTGGATTAATTAGATTTTTAGAAACCTGGATTTATAATCCAGGTTTCTAAAAATCTAATTATTTCATTTGAATCCAGAAATTTTCTCATTGAGGTTTTGAATAATTTCCCTCTTAGTCCTTGAATATTCCAGAAGTTTATCGTCACATTATTTTTTACCCTTTTTTGGAATTTCTACTTTTTTCTCACTCAAATCATTTACTTTGACTATCAATTTATCTCCACTCATTTTCTTGTTTTTATTCTCCATATTATTAGCCATTCTCCTTTTCTTCTGTATTGTTTTTTTAAATTTTGATTTATTTTTGTTAATCTTGTATTATATTTATCTCTAAAAAATGATTTAACTGAATTATTTCTTTGGTATCCAAATCATATGTATACATTATATTATTTTTTAAAAATAATCATCTCTAATTTTTATCTTATCATCCGATTTCTTTAGTTTAATCGTTTTTAATAATAATTTTCTCTTGATTCTAGATCTGTAACTTAAGTCCGTTGATATTAATATTTTTTTATTTTCGTCCGTCATTTTCGGTCTTGTGATCCAAAATTTATTAAGAATTAGATTTCTATCTTTAACCGATTCGGTCATAACCTTAATTACTTGATTATTTCTTCTATTTCCTATTTGAATAAGACCTTCGATTTCTATACCATTAATATCTAAGTTATCTTTTATAATTTTTTTAAAATCTACATATTCCGAGGTTTTAAATGGAAAACTAAATATAATTAAATTCTTCTTAGTTCTCTCGTTTAACATTTAATCAATTTCAAAATCCACCATACCTTTTAACTTACTGTACGAATCTGTTCTTTCTTCTAATAAACGTATTTTTTTACACATATCTTTCAACTCTTCCTTCAGCTTTAAATTTTCTTCGTTCATTTTGTTGATTTCAGCTTTCATGGAACGGATTTCGAAGTTCAAACTATCAAATTTGTCTTGGATTAATTCATAGAGCGATTTAAGTGAGTATTCAGGTTCAGTAGTCTTTGTTAGTAGATCTTCTTCCGGTTCAAAAAAGTCTTTAATTGTAGCATACCTCGAGATATCAGTAGTATTCTTGGAATGTTCCTCAATTACGTATTCCTCTCCTGACATATCGCTTGTCTGAGTATTTTCTTCTATATCTCTTGTATGCTCTTTACGTGGTCTCCCTCGTCCCCTTTTTTGCAACTGCTTGACTTGGTTTTGGAGGAGATCGAGGAAAAGGTCCGGGATTTAACTCAATGCCAGCAATCATTAGTAAAATAAAACTTATTATTCGAGTTAATGAAACATTTAAACTACTTATTGCAGTTCTACACTTAATATTCTGTTGTAAAAATTCCATGTCTAACGTCGCCACAACAGCTCAGCAAAAAAAGTCCCAGACAGACAAATTAATAACAATTAAAACTTTGTTCAATGATGATTTACTTTTAATAGTTTACTTCCAATTTAATTATGTTTCCAGATGCATTCAAACCATGCTTTTATATTTATTATATTATAAATGTCACAGTATGTCCCAAACGTTGGTGATACCCACATAGGTTTAAAAAAAGCTAGGTCAACGAAATTTAGTGATACGTAAAATTTTTCAAACATTTTATTGGTCCTCGGGCTTAAAAAGGTTCAGAAACGATATATTAAACAATTAAAATAGATTGGATTGAGGGAATGAGGTAACACAAAGGCGATTTGCTAAGGAAGACGCCTTCCGTAAGAACATNAACGAAATTTAGTGATACGTAAAATTTTTCAAACATTTTATTGGTCCTCGGGCTTAAAAAGGTTCAGAAACGATATATTAAACAATTAAAATAGACTGGATTGAGGGAATGAGGTAACATAAAGGCGATTTGCTAAGGAAGACGCCTTCCGTAAGAACATTCTATACGATATTTGCCTCTATTTGCGAAGAAAATGTAAAGAAAACCCGGAAAACGCCAAGCGAATGTCTAGTTGTTCACATGCAAACTGGCTACCAACTAGTTTTCAGAGATGTTTTATCCAGTCGACCACTGGAAAACACATTTGAAAAGCAGATATATCAATATTTATATTTATGTGTTCCAAATGTGTGAAATTTTCCGGGTATTCTTTATGTGGGTAACACATAAATTTCGTACAGGATGTCCTTCTGGATGGCATCCTCGTTGGCAGATATATAATAATTCGAAATCGCATATACAATAGCTTATATATGTGTATTATATAGGACTATATGCGCTCAACTTACTTGTGGTATTTTAAATAATCGAAGTAAGTTAGCCACTTGAATGGAAGTAACACTGGAAGCCGCTCCAAGTACTCCAGAAACGATTTTTTGTCGAATACTTGGGCTAGATCCATCGGGACATCGATATGTTCCTTCGTCTAAATTACTTATGTAACCTAAAAAAAGGAATAAGAAATAAGTAATTCTGATATTCAAAAGATTTAATTTATTTTTAAAATAGTTTTATACGCTTCTAAACTTTTTCAATGACAAAAACAAATTAAATTTTATTTGAATTCAAGGATCTTGTTATCTCAGATATTTTTCTATCAAGTAAAATATTAGCAATAATAAGATTTAGAAACAAATCACATAAATAAGCAAAAACTTCTTACATAAGTTTATAACGTTTTTTTAAAATACACATTAGAAAAATTTTATCTACATTTTAATTTTAACTATAAAAAAAATTATAATTCTTTAAAATCATATTACTTAGGATTAAGAGAATCCGACAGAATTTTATTGTTAAGTAAATTTAAGTTTTGTATTAAAAATAAAAGAAAAACTCCGGAACGTCGAACGGAGAAGAACAGATCAGAATATTCCATTCTAATCTGTGGTAGGGGTTGAACGGCGTCCATTTGTTCAGAAACATTTCTTTTTGAAATGTATACAAAACGAGCAATTGTGATTTATTGATTTATGAGCAATTTATTGTGATGTTGTCACAATGCCGGGCTGCAATTTTTAATTAATTTTTTAATTTATTTAATTTAAAAGATTTTCTTTCCACCTCAAATTAGTAGCGTCTTGCCCCTGTAGATCATACTTTTCCTGATAAAAACAGATCCGTGCCGGTCATCTATGTAACTCCATTTAGGAGAAAATTTTTGAATTGAAATCACGTGATTTCCGGTTTACACCGGAAGTTAAAATATAGTTAATCGGAGCCTTCCGTCTGTAAAGATTTCGACTTCCATCTATCTAACACCGTTCTTGAGATTAAGAAAGATTTAAGGAGGATAGAATGACAGACAGGCAATGAGAATTTACAGCTCTACAACTTTTTCAAATTGCAGTCCAATAACCCCTAATCAATTTCTATATTTTATGTTCCCGTCAATGGCCTTTTTTAAGAAATTTCACTAAATTGTCGTAGATAAAACAATATTTAAGAAATAATATTTGTTTTTATATTCATTTTCTTCTTGTTTAAAAATATATTTTTGCCAGAATATAGCTGTAATTAAATATTATTCAACAACACCATTAAATTAAAATGATAGTTGAAAATTGTAATTATACGGATATGAGATGGATGCTACCTATTGTGATGATGGATAATATTAGCGTCCGGACAATGTTATCAAGTCCTTATTTAGTTGAATAAACGTACAACGTTTATTATAATCAAAACAATTAGTTTTTATCATCATTTGTTAAACTTTTCATTAAAACGACTTACATAAAAGTTACGAAGAGAGTAATGTTAATCCTAAAATATACCATGATTAAATTGTCATTAAAATTTATTGTACAAGATTATCGACTATCAACCAGAAATTCCTTTTCCTAATTTAATAAAAAAAAAACTTAAATGTGTCTAACTTTATCTACAAATACATTTCCAGTTGAACATAACATTCCTTCTCATCAGTATATTATGATCTTGTATTTTATTTCTTATTTATAAAAATTAACAGAATACGTAGAAACTAATAGATGTATTTCTTGAAAAACATATTATATTCTAAAAAATAAAATAAAGATTAATTTAAGTATTTCCAATAAGTATCAAACTATCACTGAAATTTATANTTATATTCGATGAAAGAGGAAAAGCCTCTTGTATACTGAAGTTCAGGGCCACAACAAGTCTAAATTCGGCTCTTCCTTTCTTCAGCCTAGATCCTCGAATAGGCTCTATCCCCTAACATATTCGAAAGCGATATAAACGAAGAAATACTTTATTATTTTTAAATCTTGATAATTAAGAACAGTGTTTTATCATCGATTAGGTAAAACATAAAATTCAAAATAATAATGAATTTTTAAAATATTTTTATGAATACACGAAAGCTTCGTGAAATGCATTACAAAATATTATGTAAAATTATCATATTGGAAATAAAAGAATAAAACATTTGGTATCTTTTTGTTATTCAACATTGTATTCTCTAAGAATATAATGAATTCTATAAACCCACTAGTGGCCGAGCGGATAAAACGACTAAACACTGATAAGGTCACGGGTTTGCACATAACTAATTGGCTAGACACGTGAAGGTTTTTGGGTTTTCTTCTCGTGTTTAACTCATAAATAGGGACTAGTTTACCCTTGGCAGATCTCCCACGTATTACGTTGCCTTATATAATCAATCAAATTCGTTCCAAAAATGGGCGTCAGCAAAAAATTTTCAGGAGGGAAAGCTTGGAGACAAATAATTAAATCAATAAATTTTTATTTAATTTTTGGTGTTTTTTAAGTCAGACAAGAAATTTTAAGACATAATGCGTCCCAAGGTCGACAGTATAAGGTTATGCATTTCAATTACTTTTACGATTATAATTTGGAAATATTTTACTTGATACTAGCGAAGGGCAAACGCGCCGTTTGTCCCCCTCCGCAGACGTCCATGATTGCAAATGATTGCTAGTCTACATGTAACAGCAACTAATATACAATTATTCTAATAGATGGTAAAATACTAGAGAAAATTTAAAATGTAAAATGTAAATTATAATTTTTCTGTTATTAGTTGTACTTTTTATTGCCTTTTATTGTCAGTATATTATTATTATCAAAATTTAATTGGTAAGTAGTTTTTATGAAAGAAAATATTTCTTTAATAAATGTTTCAAATCGATTGTCTTTAAGCGTAAGAAAATTGTTTAGGAGAGAACGAGATAAAAGATTATTGTGAAAACCTGATAGAAGAGGGTTTTTTAGTAACTTCTTACTGACAGAGAATGATATACTTTGTTATATCATTCTCTGTTATATACTTTACAATGTCATTATATATTTCTACGTATAATGCGAAACAAAAGATAAATCAAATGATCACGTCTGTTGCGTTTTCTTGTACAAACACTGATATAAATGATTTTAGAGATTGTTAGCAACACATAAATTTAAACCATTTTAAAATGATTGCACTCTAATGCATTTTTGACATTTGCAGTTTGAATGTAAAGAAAATCTTCGATCAAATATTATTCAATTCTAACTCATTATCAAATTTAATTACATAATGTATACAGAATGCCATAATTTATATAGAAGCCTATATAATCTGAATTAGATTTTCAAAGGTTAAAAAATTACTTAGATAATATACAGATACAAAAATATTTTGTTAGAACAATATAACACAAAATAAAGAAAAATTTTATTTCCAAAAGATAAATTTTTGCTATATTTTCTTTTAATTTTGATTCGCTTCCTGTGGGTTCTAAGAGGGTCTTTTTAATTATATTCATCGCAGGCTTTTTTTTATATCTACTTTCAGTCTGTGTGTACTAAGAGGATTTTTAGTAAGCCCATTACAGATTCGATAAGGTTCAGAAAAGAGCGGGTGGTGACAAACTAGACCTGATATATCCGAAAGGATCACCCCTCGAGAAATTCCTTGGATTAAGACTCGTACGAATTCGATTTCGGTCTTCCAGAGCAGTAGACTGCCACCTTACCGCTCGACCATCCAAACACTAATTTCTTTTACAGCAACATACCCGATCTTTACTTCACTCGACTAAGAGTTTAGAACACAGTACGACAAGAAGTAGACAGAGCACGCTGCAAGTTAAATAACTTTATGTTTATAAAATACTTAATGAACATAAAATAATTTTGAAATAATTTTTGATTAACTATTGAATAAAACATCTTTATTCTATAGTCACAAGTGTCTACCAGAGCACGTGTTCTGCAACATCTACATTGTGGTGACAACATACCGATTCGCATACATGGTTTAGTGCTTTGTTAAATAACTATTTTAGATAACTGTGTTCTAATTACTTTTTTTGCTTTTGACAAGCAATCTTCCCAGAGTCTTCTACATAAGTTGTCATCCCGAAAGAATTTTGTCCAAATTACTGCACTGTAATAGTAGTTAGCCTATTTCATTTACTACCAATTCACTAAACTAATATAACACAAAAATTTATTAGCATGTATATAAAGTATCTAAAAGTAATATCTACTCAAAAAAGATACTCATTAATGTCGAAGAATTAAAAAGCTAGTGTAGTTAATTAATAAAAATATAATAAGTCAGTTTTAAAAAGTATTGTTATTAATGATATGTTATAGTAAAAAAAGAAAATTTTCACAGTTATCATAGTTATATGTTTATAATAACAACGTTTATAACTTACGTTTGCAGTATAAAACACAGACTTCGCGACCAGAGATGTTTAATTCAACAGTTAATCAAACTTTATTATGTTCATTAGAATAGAATGTGTAATAAGTTCAACACCTTTAACATTTTGCTTAGGAATAATAGCGTCAAAGTTAAACATGTAATAACAGTCACGTGATAAAATGTAAACGTTTTTATAAATATAAACGTTGAAAATATATTTAAAGATTTATAGTTTTTATAAAATAAACACGCTAAGACGATTAATTTGGGATACAAATTATCGTACTAGGCAAAATATTCTAATAATAGGTCATGTGATAGTACAGTACTACTGGTTACTTGACCGAACGAAAATCGCTAAAATCCTTAGTAATTCGATCGAGTTCAAATATATTCAATTTTTTATAGTTTCTGCTCATATAGGTGTCACCAAGTTTAATTAATTTAAGACCTCATTTGTCCAATTTGATCAAAGGGAAGTCTGTCAACTAAGTGACTGTTCGCTTCTAAATACAGTATGTACTCGAGTAGATACGTAGGCCTATATAACAAACTGACCTAAAAGTAAAAATAATCCCAATTCAAAAGTGAAATAACCCCAGAGAGATAGGACAAAAACTTCTGTAAAGAGATAATATAATAATGCAGTAGATTCGGCTATTGTAGTCACGAATATTTTTGTTAGTTATTTAATGTTATTACAATTAACTCACCACAAAACATAAAATTTAAATAATAAAATAAGTAATAGTGAAAATTCGGTTATTGTTATCATTATCTTCGGATAAATAGTCAT